TGCCAATTTAATAGGTGAAAAACAATTTATTATAGTTTAAATTTGTATTTCCTTTATTATGGTATTGTCAAGGATGTTTCCATATGCTTAAAAATGGTTTCTTTATAAATGGTTTGTCTTTTGCCCTTTTTTCTGTTGAATTCTTAATTTGTATGAATATATTGATGTGATTAGCCTTTTATTTGTTGTATGTTGTTCCAGTATTTTTTCACAGTTGGTCATTACTCTTTGAAGTACTCTTTGCCACCCTAAGTTTCTTTAATATTCATTTAGTTAAAATAACAATCTTTTTTACAGGAGATTATCCTGTGATCTTTTCCTTTTATGTGTATGTGTGAATTATGTTTACACATTGCTTAGCAATTACTCATCCTCACATATTTGCCATGAATTTAAATAATTGTTCTAACTTTTTCAGGCTTTGAAGTCAATTTTACACTGGTTTCCTAAATAGAATTTAGAACCCTTTCTTCTTGTTCTGGAATACTTATAATAGCACTGGTGTATAACTCCCTTAAAGTTTTGGTTTATCTTACTTGTTTGCCCATTTGGACCTTTTGGATTATCAAGGGAAAGTGCTTTGACGGCTTTTTTCCATTATTACTTTATAAATTTTACGCAGATGTTTTGTCTCTTTTGGCATTAGTTTTTGACATAATAGGTTGTATTGTTCTAGAAAATTACTTAATTCTGGTTTTCAAGTTAATTTTCACAGAGTTGAACAATGTAATTTCTATAAATATTTAAGTTTGTTCTCTATCTGTAAAGGTTTACCATATACTAAAGTTCCAGGGTAGTCTGTATAACAACTTATTTTATCTGTATTTTCCAATCTGTTGGTATAAAATTACCACAGTATTTTCCTGTTTTGTCCTCATTAATTCTGCACATTCCTCAGCTAACATCATCAGATACTGGCTTTTCTTCATTTTCTCAACACTCTCATTCTGGGACTCCTAAAGATAGAAGCTAGATCTTTTTTCCTCCATATTTTTTTTTCATTTCCTTTATTATTTTTTGCCTCCTTATTTCTCTATGTGGCCTTCTCAGTAATTACTTCGGATATATCTTCGAAATTACTCTTCTCTCTGCAGCTCCCTATTAACTCATTGGCTTTAAAAAAAAAAAAAATTCAGTAGCAGTATTTTGTATTTTTAGAAATTCTCCTTTATTTTGTTTTTGGCTTTTTTTCCCCTACATCTTTCTGGCCCTTTCACTTCTGTTGGGATAGTACTTTGGCAACCTAATTGTACCTTCTTCAAAATCTTTTGCTTAATTAAGCTCTTTTTTCCCTAACTGAAGTGACCCAAAAGCTTAGTATTCTGCCTTCTTTTCTACATTTGTAATCTGCAACCAACTCTCTAACTTTACCTGCTTTACAATTTCACAGTAATTTTTCCCTTCCTTTATTATCAGTCTGGCAGAGAGAGAGAAAAATCTCCCATTTTCCCATCTCGGATCTAAGAAGCAACAGGGAACTGAATGTAATCCTTCAGTACGTAGACTTGCACTTATTCTCTCTATGCTGAGCCAGTTCCTTTTCTCTGTATTCCTCTGCCTCATGTCCCTGACTCTACAGCATGTCTGCTTCGTTTTTTTTTTTCTCTTTTAAATGTTTGTTTATTTTGTGTGTGTGAGAGAGAGAGAGAGACACTGAGCCAGCGGAGGGGGGAGAGAGAATCCCAAGCTGAGCATGGAGCCTGACACAGGGCTTGGCTCGATCCCACAACAGTGAGATCATAACTTGAGCCTAAATGAAGAGTTGGATGCTTAACCTGACTGAGCCATGCAACCGCCACTCTGCTTTCATTTCTTAAGAGATCCTCCATCTCCTTTAGGGTAGAGTGGTCTTTGTCTTTGTTAGTTGATATGTTTTTCCTTCTTTATCTCACATTGGTGTGCTTGGGAGTGGGATGAGATAAATTCATGTATTTCTTCTACCATATTTAAGCTCAATTTTTCACTCTTTGTTTTCCCTTCTGCTCACAGTACATATGTATTCCTTATCCAGTCATGCTAAGTAGGCTCTTCCAGTTTTATGTTCCAGCTCTCTGATCCAATTTTAACCTGCCCTTTTTTTTCTCACTTTATTACTGCAGTATTCAGAACAACTTTATTTACTTTTTAAAATACATAATATGTGCTTATAGTACAAAAGGACACATTGAAAAGTAGTTATTCTCTTACACATTTCCTAAGGTGACAACCGCTATCTTCATTTTCCTTTGAGCTGTTACTTACCTGTATTTTCAAACATTTTTATTGAAATTAGGTTAGCTTGTGAGTAAGTGTTATTTTCGGTATTGAATGTTCTTTTCCAGCAATGTGATAATGCCTTTATTCTTAGCTTCCTAGAGCTGCCATAACAAAGTACAACAAATTGGGTGGCTTAGAATAACAGGAATTTAGGGGCATCTGGGTGACTCAGTCAGGTTAAGCATCTGACTTCTGCTCAGGTCAGGATCTTGTGGTTCACGAGTTCGAGCCCCACATTGGGCTCTGTGTTGACAGCTCAGACCCTGGAGACTGCTTCAGATTCTGTGTCTCTCTCTCTGCCCCTCTCCCACTCACACTGTCTCTCAAGAATGAATAAACATTAAAAAAAATAATTAAAAAAAAAAGAATAAGAGGAATTTATTCTCACAGTTCTGGAGGCTTAAAAATACTAAATCGAGGTGTTGGCAGGCCATGCACCATCTGAAGCCTGTAGTGGAAGGACCCTTCCTTCGTGTCTTTCAGCTTCTAGTAGCCCCAGACATTCCTTGGCTTGTGATACCATAACTCCAGTCTGTGTCTTTATTTTCACATGGTGTTCTGTGTTTCTGTCTCTTCACATTGAATCCTTTTTTGCAAGAACACCAGTCATAGTAGATTGAGTCACCCTAACTCCAGAATGACCTCATTTTAACTAATTGCATCTGCAGTGATCCTCTTTCCAAATAACTTCACATTCTGAGGTATGGCCATTAGGAGTTCAACATATCTTTTTTGTGGTACATTCAGTTCAGCCCATAACACCTTTCCATTTGGTCACATCTGTGTGTGCATTTTAGTTTTCTGTAATTTTGCAACATTTCTTATTAAATTTGTTCACATATTTTTCATATTTTTTGTTGTGATTATGATTCTTATGTTTTCTAAATAGTTGTGTACATATGAATGTTATTGAAACTAAATATTAATTTCCTATATATAGTGAATATAATGAAGTTTTTATATTTTATAATGATTTTTCACTCTTGATTTTGTAGGTAAATTGTTTTATTGTTGACCAAAATGTTAATCTTATACTTTCCAAGTTTTTATACCTCTGATTTCTTCTTCTGTTAATGCACTATCCAGTACTGTAGTGGTGGTAGTACTAACTTTAATGTAGTACTTTGGGATTTTCCTTTTTGTGGAGGGGGGGGGTTTTCTTATTAAAAATTGTGATTTAAGTGTACTGTGTTTAAGCTGTACTGTACTTTTTCTGAAGTTAAATAAGTAGTCCCATTTTTTGAAGGTTTCTTTATGGAAAATAGATATTTAGTTTTATAACTTTTAAATATACCTTTGGAAATGATTACTTGATTTTTTACTTTTGACCTTTACTTTTGCTGATTAGAAACAGATTTTTCTAGTAGCAAAACATATATATGTACTTGGAAAATTTATATATGTACAAAACATATATATATGTACTTGGAAAATATAAAATTTAGTTTTATAACTTTTAAATATACCTTTGGAAATGATTACTTGATTTTTTACTTTTGACCTTTACTTTTGCTGATTAGAAACAGATTTTTCTAGTAGCAAAACATATATATGTACTTGGAAAAAAACCTACTCAGTTATGATGTATCTTATATTTAATTTGCTCTAGGTCACTTTTTTTTCCTTCTGGGTCATTTTGATATTTTAGGTAGAATTTTTACATTGATATTCATAAGTAAAATTGGTATATAGTTTGCTTTTTTGGTTGTCATCTTTGTCAGATTTTGGTGTTAATGTTATGTTTGTTTCACATGCACAAAAATGGGAATTCTCCTTTTTTTTTCTTTTACAACATTCTGCAGAGCATGAAAGCAAATGTCCCCTAAATGTTTGTTCAAATGCCCATGTGAACCTCTCTGGACCTTTTGATTTGTTTTGTTTTTGAGGGATTGCTTTTTTATATTTTTCTGTTCCTTTTGTGGAAGTTGGTTTATATAGGTTTCTACCTCTTACAGGTACAGTTTTGGTAATTTGCATTTTCCAGAAAATTACTTATGTCAAGCAGTTTATAAAGTTATCTTTTTAATAGAGTCCTGCAAAATAGTTTTATGATTTTTAACTTCCTATTTTTGTTTTTTCCTGTGTCATTTCTAACTTTATTTGTACATCTGCATTCTTCCTTTTATTTATGCAACAGTTTATCTGTTTTGTTTCAGATCCCATTTTTAAACACAATCAAAGCTATTTTGTATTCCTAACTATCTTCCTCCACTCGTATTTTTCCTGGAATTTCCTAAAGCTAAGGAAATAGGAGATACATGCACTTGGAATTTGCTTTATAATGGGAAACTACGTCTTAAACCAAGAATCAATCCCATAATAGCATATTTTCTGAAATTTTCTTCACGTTACAATACTGGAAAATATTTCAAGTGATATTTATTTGCAATCTGTTTTAGGAGAAGTATGGGGAATTGATGAGCGTCAGAAAATCCAGGACAGACTTTTGACACAATTTGAAGATAAATTCACAAAAACACTGACTGAAGAAAAAGTCATTGAATGTCATAAGAAATTTGCCAGTGCATTTCCTCTTAACTTGGACTTTTTTCCTTCCAGTCACAATCTCTATGAATATGACTTATTTGGAAAGTGTTTAGAACATAATAATTTTGACTGTCATAATAGTGATAGAATCTTTATACGAAAGGAACATTCTGAATATAATGAACCTATGAAATCATTTGTCATTAATCCATCCCATCTTGTAGTAACCCCCTTTAAATGTAATCACTGTGGGAAAGGATTCAGTCAAACTTTGGACCTCATCAGACACCTCAGAATTCATACTGGAGAGAAACCCTATGAATGTAAAAACTGTAGAAAAGCCTTCAGCCACAAGGAAAAACTCATTAAACATCATAAAACTCATAGTAGGGAGCAGTCTTATGAATGTAATGAATGTGGGAAAGCTTTCATTAAAATGTCAAATCTCATTAGGCATCAAAGAATTCATACTGGGGAGAAACCCTATGCATGTAAGGAATGTGGGAAATCCTTCAGCCAGAAATCCAATCTCATTGATCATGAAAAAATTCATACTGGAGAGAAACCTTATGAATGTAATGAGTGTGGGAAAGCATTCAGTCAGAAGCAAAGCCTCACTGCACATCAGAAAGTTCATACTGGGGAGAAACCTTATGCATGTAATGAATGTGGTAAAGCCTTCCCTCGAATTGCATCCCTTGCTCTTCACATGAGAAGTCATACAGGAGAAAAACCTTATAAATGTGATAAATGTGGAAAAGCTTTCTCTCAATTTTCCATGCTTATTATACATGTAAGAATTCATACGGGTGAGAAACCCTATGAATGTAATGAATGTGGAAAATCCTTCTCTCAAAGTTCAGCCCTTACTGTACATATGAGAAGTCATACTGGTGAAAAACCTTATGAGTGTAAGGAATGTAGAAAAGCCTTCAGCCACAAGAAAAACTTCATTACACACCAGAAGATTCATACTAGAGAGAAACCTTATGAATGTAATGAATGTGGGAAAGCTTTCATTCAAATGTCAAATCTCGTTAGACACCAGAGAATTCACACTGGAGAAAAACCGTACATATGTAAGGAATGTGGCAAAGCCTTTAGCCAGAAATCAAATCTCATTGCACATGAAAAAATTCATTCTGGAGAGAAACCCTATGAATGTAATGAATGTGGTAAAGCCTTCAGCCAAAAGCAAAACTTTATTACACATCAGAAAGTTCACACTGGAGAGAAACCTTATGACTGTAATGAATGTGGTAAAGCCTTTTCTCAAATTGCATCCCTTACTCTTCATCTGAGAAGTCACACAGGAGAAAAGCCTTATGAATGTGATAAGTGTGGGAAAGCCTTCTCTCAGTGCTCATTGCTCAACTTACATATGAGGAGTCATACTGGTGAGAAGCCCTATGTATGTAATGAATGTGGAAAAGCTTTCTCTCAAAGAACTTCTCTTATTGTGCACATGAGAGGCCATACAGGTGAGAAACCCTATGAATGTAATAAATGTGGAAAAGCCTTCTCCCAAAGCTCATCCCTTACTATACATATACGAGGTCATACAGGTGAGAAGCCCTTTGACTGTAGTAAATGTGGAAAAGCCTTCTCTCAAATCTCATCTCTTACACTTCATATGAGAAAACATACAGGTGAGAAGCCTTATCATTGTTATGAGTGTGGTAAGGCTTTCAGCCAAAAGTCACACCTTGTTAGACACCAGAGAATTCATACTCAGTAGAACACTATGAATATTGTGAATATGGAAAAGCCTTTAGAAAGAATTAGCATCTCCTTTCACATAATCAGTTCTAGAACAGAAAACTATGACTGTGGAAAGCCTTTTTGAAGAAGTCACACATTTATGAAACAAGGAGTATTTTTACCAAGGTGACAAATTGTGAAACAAAAAAGCTGAACATCAAAAACCTTCACAGATATCTGAAGATATTTATTCAGCATTCTTATTAAAATGTGAAACAAGATATCTACTATCAGCATATCAATATTACAACTGAGCTCCTAGCCAATGTGTTAAGTAAGAAGATTGGCGGAAAAGAGAAGCTATAAAAATAACCTCTTACACAAGAAATATTTGATTCAAAAATATGTTGATATAAAATGTCTAAGGATAAACACAACAGTGAATTACCAGGCACACATATATACATATAAAGTTATAAAACATTTTCAAGGGCACAAAATAACACCTGAAATTTTGAGAAAAATAACATTGTCTGAAAAAGGTGACATTTTTAAAAACAAAAATTCTCTCATCTCTAAGGTATTTCCACTCAAAGTTTTCACTAATTATATTTTAAGAATTTCGCAAACTGATTTAAAGTTTTACATAGGAATACGAAGGACCACAAATAGCAGAGACAACAGTGAAAAAAGAGAAGGCACAGTCTACTAGATAGCATCACGTACTTTTATTTAAAGCTGGTGTCTAAATGTGTTGTTAAGTAAATTAGCAGATACAAGGATTGGAGAAAGGAGATATGGAAATTTTGTGTATGATAGTGCTACTGAAGTCACTGGAGAAAGAATGGCCTATTCAATAAATGGAAGATTCATATGAACAAAAAATGATAGCTCTCTATACCATATACAAAAATAAACTCCAGATAGATTGAAGACCAGAATATAAAAAGCAAAATTCTAAAACTATGATGAAAGTAAAATAGATTTATTATTTTAGAGTAAAAGGATTACTCTAAGAACACATAAATATGAAGCTGTCATTTCTCTTTTGGTGTATTGGCTTCGGAGGCACACATACAGAGGCACGAGATACACATCTCTGTTCACTGCATTGTGGTTTGTATTACACTAAATTGGACATAAATTCTCAGTAGAATGATAAATTAATACCACGTAATTATTGCTATGATAGAATACAATATTTAGAAGGTATAAATGTGACATATAGTTACGTAGATCACAATATATAATATTGAGAGGAAAAAGCAAAATGTACAATGAGAAGATGTAACATTTGTATAAGTTTAATAAAATAATGCAAAGAACAGTACTGTGTATTGGTCATAAATCCACATATGACATTGGTTGCCTTTCAGGAAATGGGAGGGGTTTAGATGGAATTGTTATATTTACCTGTAACGTTTCTTTAATAAAAAGGAAAGCAAATATAATGGTGGTAACAAATCAGGTTGTCAAGATTATGTTGCTATTTTTGTATTCTTTTTTGCCTTTCCTTATTTTCCTAATTTCTCTAAAATAAGAACCAAAATGGCACACGACCTATAGAAACAACTTGAAAATGGATTCTTTATGGTCAAAACTAAAATTTGTAGGAAATTCTCTTTACTGATACACAAACAAAACCTGAATTAAGATGACACTTTGCTTACCCTCTCCTCACAATGTTGATTCAGTGTGTGTGTGTGTGTATTGATGCCAATTTTAAAATTGTTTATTTCAAACACAAATTCTTCCTTAGCTGAAGGCAGTGAAGAAACTAAAGAAATAGTTAATTGTTGGAATAACTAGCTCTCCACTTGGGGAAAAAAAACCAAAACCTATATTTGGCTTGGTTTCAGATTGAGTAGGGGCCATTCATACCTACTGTAAAATGTGAATAATGTTCTGACATGTCAAGCAAGCCAAGGATAGATGCCTGCATCAGACCAGAGGGAATTTTCGCATATCCCAACAAAGCTTTGTTTGGTTTCTGAATCCTTAAATGGTCATGCACATGCTGGTGATTTTATATGTGTGACGTACGTGCCCAGTGGGTGTGAAAGCTCTTCTTGTACCACATCTAAAATGTTATATATTCAGACCTTTCAAATATATGTGGAACTCAAATGTGAATAGCTCATTCATATATTTTGTCTATTTGTTTTCTACTGGGACTTTCAAAAGATGTTTTTATTTAGAAATACAGGTTTATAGGAAGTTGCAGAAACAATACCCTATAGTACTGTTTAGCTTGTGTGCCCTATGTCCGATTTTCCCTAATGTTAAATCTTGCATAACTACAGTGCAATATCAAATTTAACAGTGGCACAATCTGTACGTTAGTAGATTTCACTGGTTTTGCATGCGCTTGTGTGTGTTAATGTAGTTCTATACAATTTTATCTCCTAACTACCACTCCAATTTTTTCTCTGCCACCACAATCAACATACAGAACTTCTGACACCACAAATATTCCTTGTTCTGTCCCTTTGTAGTCACACCCATAACCCTTTTCCCCTCTGTGCTTCCCACTCCTTACCTTTGGCAAGCACTAATATATAATCTCAAGATTATTATATTCTATAATATACTGTTTAATATCAAGAGTGTTTTATAAATGGAACCTACACTATATAACCTTTGAGATTGGTGTTTTTTATTCAACCTGATGCCCTGAGATAAATCCCAGTTATTACAGGTAAAATTTTTCTGGTTTTAAAATTTCTCAAGTAGTTTTCCATGGTATCAATATACCATGGTTTCTCTAACCATCAAGCCTTTGAAAGACATTTGCATTTCCAGCTTTGGGTAATTACAAAAACCTGCTATGAACATTCATCTGTCATTTGGTTGTTTTGTTCTATTTTGTTCTTCTGTCACTTTTCATGCCTTACTGTGGGTTACTTCAGCATATTTTTTTAGAATTCTACTTTAGAGTTCTTGAGTGTATCTCTATGGATTTTTTAGTAGTTGTTCTAGGTATTAACATCATACATATATAACTTCCACAATCTACTGTCATTCAACCAGTTCAAAACCTTATCTCAACTAAGATTCTTTGTTTTCCCCCTTTATTATTATATAATTGTACCAGGTATTTCCGCTATATACCATAAGAACTATATGAGACAGTGTTAACCATTTTTTGCTTTAACCATCTAGCATAATTTAGGAAACCACAGGAGAAAGGTATTCTATTAAATGTACCCATATCTTTACTGTTTCTGTTCTATCCTCATTCCAGATGTTCTATACTCCATCATTTCTGCTGAAAGAATTTCCGTCAGCCACTCTTTTAGTATAGGTCTCCTGGCAACAAAAAGACTATCTTAGTTATCCTTTGTCTGAGTATGTTTTCATTTCACCTTCATTCCTAAAGGATGTTTTTTTGCTGGTAGAGAATTCTGGTTGACAGATGTTTCAGTACTTGAAAAAGGGGCCAGTTCACTTTGACCTTTTTTTTTCTGATAAGAAATCTCTTATCTGAACCATTCCTCTATAGGAGGAATGTGTCATTTCTAACTGCTTTCAAAAATTGTTTCTAGTCTTCAGTATTCTTAAGTTTGATTATCATGTATCTCAGCATGAATTTCTTTGGGTTTATACTGTTTAGGGTTTGCTCAGCTTCTTGAATCTGAAGACTTAGGTTTGTTGCCACAGTTGAGGAATTTTCTGCTGTTATTTCTTTTACTGCTTTTCCAGCCTCATACTTTTTATCCTTCCCTTGTAAGACAACATGTTTTTCCTCTTGTTGTTCATATTAGGTAATTTATTTTGTTCTATCTTCAAGTTCACTGATACTTTCCTCTGTACTCTCCATTCTACTCCTGGACACATCCATTGAGTCTTTTGGTTACTGTGATTTTCATTTCAAATTATTTCATGTTCTTTATATTTTTCTTTGTTGAGCTTTTTTTTCATTTGTTTCAAGTATGTACATGATTTGTTCACCTGAAGCACTTTTATGATGGTTGCTTTAAATTCCTTGCCAAATAACTCTAGTTACCTTAGTGTTGATGTCTCTTGATTGTCTTCTCATTAAGCTTGAGATTTTCCTATTCCTTGATATGATGTATGAGTGATTTTCATTTTTATCCTGGACATTTTGTGTGTTGTGTTCTGAGACTCTAGCTCCTACTTAACCTCCTTTCTGCAGGTAAGTTTAGGCGTAGCTTTAGTGTACAGGTGGGTGTGGATGTTCCTGCTGAGCCCCACTGACTCAACCCAAGCAAAAGTGGAGCACTGATACCCACTTCATTTTCAGTGGGTAGGGATAGAAGTTCACCTCCCCATTCAGCCCAGCTAAAACAGAGGTGTGGAGGATGGAGAGGAAACAGTGATAACACCACACCTTGTTGCTAGAGCTTGTTGGGTAGGAATAGAAACTGAATTCTGCACTGGGCTCTGATAAAGGGGAGGGTGAAACGCTGATTGCTTTTTTTTTTTTTTTTTTTTTTCCTTAATTGAAATGGCCAGAGCTACAACTGAGCTGAGTTGTTAGGATTTGAATCCCTTGTGCAGAAGATACATGAATGTCCCAACAGGTACATGAAAAGATGCTCAACATCACTAGTAATTAAGGAAATGGAAATCAAAACCACAATGAGATAATACTTCACTCCTGTTAGAATGGCTATCATCAAAAAGACGAGATAAATGCTGGCAAGGATGTGGAGAAAGGGGAACACTTGTGCGCTGTTGGTGGTATCATAATTGGTATGGCCACTATGCAAAACAGTATGCAGTTTTTAAAAAAACAACAACTGTATAATCCAGCAATTCTATTTCTGGGAATATATCCAACGGAAACAAAAACCCTATGTTGAAGAGGTATGTGCACTCCCATGTTCATACCAAGATAAGGGAACAAGCTAAGTGTATGGATTGGATGGATGAACTGGATAATGAATTTGTGGTGCGTGCACACATACACACAGTGGAATACCGAGCCATAAGAAAGGAAATCCAAAAGAAGGAAATCCTGCCATTTGTGACAACATGGATGGACCTTGAGAGCATTTTGCTAAGTGAAGTCAA